AATACTTGTGTCGCTAAAGTTTCGTCGGAACGAAGTTACGGGAAGTTAATTAACAAACGGAGACGTAACAGTATGGACTGTCACACGTGCTGCGATCCAATAAAGTACATGCAGCATTTCTGTGAAAACTAATATTGCATTAAAGAAAAAGTGAAATTCTCTAATAAAGAAAGTTTTCTGAATTATTTAGAAAGGGTTTGAAATCCACTTGTTCTCAGAAAATGACACAGTAGTGAAACCATTAATTTATATCTTATGTTATTCTGCTGATATACCATGGCTATGGTCAAGATATATGTAATGAGATCCTCTTTGTCAAGTGGATTTTATAACTACGATGTTTTTAAAGCAGTTTCGCTTTTCAAGCTATGTTTATTTGTTTTTTAGGTTGCAAAGGCTGACAGCCAAATAAATTAATAGTTTGTTATACATTAATATTATTATGCAAACAAGTGTTTAATATTTATTGCTTGAAGTGTTATTGCAACTATAGTCTGTATATTGTACAATCATTCTGTTGTTTAACAATTTGATCTTTAAACACGTAGCTGATAAGCCTTGAGGTGTTGTACTTTCAGTAACGGTCATAAATCTTCAAGAAAATAAATATGAAACCCAATCCATCATTTGATGTACCACTTGTCACTGAGTTATGTTTACCCTTGTCAAGGGTTATGGATGGAGGGTGGAATTCCTCCAAACTGGTAAGATTCAGTGACAGGTGTTAAATTGTATGACAGATTAGGCTTCACATTTATAGTATTTCAAACAGCTTGTTGGCTGAATAATCCAACAGAATAAATTAGTAACACTCATGCTGTGGTGAGTAAAATACATCTCTAAACACCATTAGTCTCTGTTGTTCAGTGTGTTTTATTTTATTTTATACATTCTCATAATCAGAAACTATTTTGGATAGCAGGGAATGAGGTTTAGTACGTTAATTGTAGAAGTTGTGTGATACGTGTATGAACTTATCAAGCTTCAACATGTCTGTAGGTAAGTCGGGAATATGTGTCTTTTTAGAAAAAAGGGAACTAATGAAGAAAAACAATAATTAAATATATGTTTATTAAGAGTGCTATTGTTGCTGTAAATTAAATCAACAATACAGTTTAATCTTACTTATATGATTTGAAAGATTAAGAAGTCGTCAAACTCTGCTTTTGAAATATCTCATAAATAATAAAAACAACGAGTGGAGGTCATACATAATATTGAACTGTTTCTCTCAATGTCACAATGATTTGATCCTTTTAAAACTGTAGATCAAACTAAAGCTGTTAACGCTTTGTTTCAGGTATGGGTTTTGAGGTTAAAGTAATTACATATGTGGTGTTTTGAGGTGTCTTTTACACAGTAATCTATATTTATGTAGGAATTTCAAGAACATGCACCATTGATGCTACTAATTTATTCTTGTGGATTATTTAGCCAGACAATCTGATAAAATACTAAAAAATAAATGTGAATTCCGATTTATCAGTTGATTTACCATCGATTTCTCACGGAGTTATACCAGTTTCGGGGAATTCCATCCCTCATCAGTAACCCAGAACAAGGGCAACATATGTCACAGTGATAGTCCTCGTTCACAGTTACTGATGAGGGGTGGAATTCCCTGAAACCAGTATAACTCAGTGACAAGTGGTAGCTCAAATGAAAGATTGGGATTCATATTTAATTTCTAGTATTTTAATAGCTTGTCTGGCTGAATAAACATATTTAGTATTGACTTTAATACATTGTCATCATACAGTTTATTTGTTCTAGGCTGACTCGTTGACCCTAGTATCAACAAGTGTTTCCAACTGTATATCAAAAGGGAAATCTAAAGTAAGTTGTTGATCATCCAACGGTGTATTATGTGATCCAAATGCTGTATGTTGAGAAAGCTTTGTTAAATTTAGTGTATACTGGAGTATTAGTGTTTCAGATTGAGTAGGAACTTATCAACTTTTGTATTTTATAATATCTTGATGCTAAATTCACAAGCTGTTAAGAAGGAAAGTTAACATGGATGGACACTTATAATGACCACTGAAATAAACATGTTTAGATGTTAGTGCAAACATGGATGTAAATCTATAGTGACCACTAATGTAAGCTTATTTAAATGTTAAAGACTGTATTGTGTTTTTACCAAAAAATTGTTTTGGGTCAGCACTATGACTGTAGAAACCACATCAGAGTTATTCAACCAGTTGGTGAGGGAAACCAGCTTTATGTGTGTGGAACAAATGCATACAAACCCATGGACTGGATAATTCATGTAAGTTAAACCTATTTATTATTTGTTGTTTTATACACAATTGTTACATACAGGTAAGAAATGTAAAGAAAATGTATTTTAGAAACACGTTTTGAACCATCTTTGTTTTGTAGACAAATGTAGGGGAACTGATACATCTCCAGATGCTGTCATATGTTCTTAGGTACATGGTTTCTTCTTTCTAGAAGAGATGGTTATTTCAGATGTATTTGACAAGTGGAGTGCTAATGCAATACCCAACGTCTAGCTAATAATACTATTTCACTTTCAATACTCATACTTCTAATCTGTATTCATTGGTCTAAAAGTTTGTTTAGTGACATTTGGAACTTGAGATAACTGAATGAAAGTGACTGTACAATACTAAACAGCTTGTAAAGAAACCAAAACCTAGTTATGACCAGCTGAGACATGCTTTTCGAAGCTCTATCATTTCTTCTCAAGCTGAGTAGTTTTTTGCCAAACAATCCCTTCACAAGAGGTAGTTTTTTAATACCAGATGGCATTATTTATATAATTTTATTATGGAAAGAGTCTGTAAGGTTTCCAACAAGCCTTAGAATTTATGTCTTTTTAAGTTTAGTTTTGAAATGCTAAGCCAAAATAAATGTGGAAGTTACGTATATGACAGAAATGAATAGTACTTACCCCTACCTGTTGGTAAGCTTACAAACTTGTATCATTTGGAGAATAACATCTTAGTGCATATAAAAATATTGACTGAGTGGTTTTGATCAATGTATTTCTTTTTTATATTTATAACCAGTATAAAATACCCACGATCTGCTGCTGGATTCTAAGAACCTCTCGTGATTCACAGAGGCCTCAGTGTACCATTCAAGCATTTCTCTAGCTACCTGAATGCCTCAATCCTTTAATTGATTTGTCTGTTGCCATTTCCTGAAATTAATTCAAATCTTTTTTTAAAAGCAAATAGTTTTAATTTAGCTTCTCAGATTCGTTTTTTTCTTCCTGTTTTATTTGAATTCTTTTCATTCTCTGAATTCTACAATATTCTCTGATTCATATTTTTCTTTCCATGTTTGTGTTGAAAAATAGTATTTGGCAGAAAACTTCCACATATTGTTCATTCAGTAAGTGAAAGTTAGAAAAAAAATATGACCTTCAGGAAGCAGAATTATGGGGCTTAAGGTCTATATTTCACACCCTCAGAATCCCCTTAGTATGGCTGCAAAGTTTCAGGTCTCTAGGTTCTTTTGTTTTGGAGCTATGGTGGTCAAACACAGACAGGCTCATTTATCATTACAGACTAGTGAAACTATCCAGCTTCGAAAGCGTTATTAGGCTGATATGTTCTTGATAACTACATCATTGTGTGTATTCTGAACCTATTTTAGCATAGAAGAACATTCAAAAATATTTTAAACATTTTTACTTCCCAGAAACATAAAGTCGTAAAGTAAGTACAGTAAGTTAAGAGTTATTTATTATCAATGAACTTTATTATTGCATTAAATATTTCACATTTATATTTGATATCACAAATTTCTATCGTATTTTATCAGAATCTGTTACAATTTTTTACCGTTTGATTAATGTCTGCCATTACGATTTGAATGACGGGGGTGCAAGGGGACCATGAAGGGGGTTGCCATGAAACCTTGTAATTGTAGTGAATGTTGGTATGAACTAAAGAAATTAATAATTAAACCTACAGTAAAGACGTAGTGTGAGATGAGCTAGCTTAGTGCCAAGTGCATAAAATGTATCATGAAAATAAAAGTATTGATCCAATTTTAAAGTTAGATAATAAAAACAAATAATAGTGTTTTTAGGAGTAAAAGTAAGATCAGTATTGTATCCATAAACAGAATTTATTCTTGTAAGCTAAATGTGTGTAATATATGTTCAAGTTTATCGTTGGTTTTCCAGTAGTTCTTTATCATCTTCATAATTTTGAAAAGCTAAACATGTTTTACAAATATTTTTTCTTTAGGCAAATCTGACACATTTAGGACAACATGAAAGTTATCCTGGTATTGGAAATGGAATTGCCAAGTGTCCATTTGATCCAGATGATAATTCAACTGCCGTATGGGTTGGTGTGTGTAATTTTTATGTTCTGTAATTTGAATAATAGAGTGGCTTTAGATATCAAACAGTGCGACCATTTTTCTTTTCAGTTTTAACACTTCTCCCGTGCAACAGTACAGTTTGTTACTTGAGAAAGAATAGGGCATGCCCTATTTTGTGCCCTAGTTATATTTCTGTTCTCAATATATTATTCATAACATCTTACCAATTGTGCTATATTTTGTAAGGAATAACACTTTTAAAACAGAGCATATTGCTTGTTTTGTGTAGTAGTAAATAACACTGCTCTAAAGCATTTTGTGAGTTAGAGGTACAGAAAGGTATCTTACTATGAATCTCACTGTGATAAGAATCACGATAAATCCAAAACTTGTAAAAGGCAAACATAGTACCTAAAATCCACAAAAGAAATATTGTGGGTATAAATCATGGTCAGTGATTCGTCTTTTCCTTCTTATCTGAATTCATCAAACAATAGTAGAACATAATAGAACACAGATTCTAGAACACAAAAACCATGTGGTTCTTTTATGACATTAGAATTAAACAAAAAATATACATTCACAGTGACTGTTGATTATTCCATCAAAAATTAAAACATTAAAATTACACAAATGCATGTAACATGATCATTAGCTGTTCCCGTGTCTTAATTCAGACTTAAAGTAAATTAGTATGATTAAAAGTTGAGGAGGGAAAACAATAAAACTTTTTTCAAAATGACTGATTGTAATGTTATTATCATGGGTTGTAAGCTGTGTTAGTTTGTCAAACCAATCTGTTTGTAACTATTTTAACGTTTGACACTATGTAATTAACTTGTTACGTACAGGTTGTATCCCCCAGTGGCTCATCAGTAAGCTTGAGGGCTTATAACTCTAGGATTTCATATTCAATCTCCATGATATACACAGTCTAATAAAGTTTTACTTTTCAGTTATAGTACTGTTTTTAAAGTACTTAGAGGAATACTAAAAACACAAACTGTGAAGCTTACAAACAAACTTCATAATTTCCTTACATGAATATGCTTTACAACGATCTGACGAACTGCCATTTTTCTTCCAGTTTATGATCTTATCAGTATAATAACATCAAATTATTATTTCCTTGTCAAGCAACGTGTGATTTTCTGGCAATAAAGGTAGAGGAAAAATATTACTTATAAAGATAGTATTTTTTCTCTAACTTTATTGCCACAGTGTCATATGCTTATTTGTGTTGTGTATAGTGCTTGTTTGTGAACACAGTAAGAAGTTGTGTATAGTGCTTGTTTGTGAACACAGTAAGAAGTGTTGTGTATAATGCTTGTTCATGAACACAGTAAGAAGTGTTGTGTATAGTGCTTGTTCGTGAACACAGTTTGAAGTGTTGTGTATAGTACTTGTTTGTGAACACAGTAAGAAGTGTTGTGTATAGTACTTGTTTGTGAACACAATAAGAAGTGTTGTGTATAGTGCTTGTTCGTGAACACAGTAAGAAGTGTTGTGTATAGTGCTTGTTGTGAACACAGTAAGAAGTGTTGTGTTTAATGCTTGTTCGTGAACACAGTAAGAAGTATTGTGTTTATAGTGCTTGTTCGTGAAGACGGAACTAATCCGTACTTTGCACTACAGTTTTCTCATGTGTATTACTTTGTTCTAGAACATGGAAATCCAGGAGAACTTCCAGGGTTGTACAGTGGCACTGTAGCAGAGTTCACCAAAGCTGATGCTGTCATTTTTCGAACAGATCTATATGATACTTCAACAGGCAGAAGAATTTATCCATTCAGTCGAACAATTAAATATGACTCAAAGTGGCTTGATAGTGAGTGTAATATTTTTATTTTGTTCAAAATGACCTAGTCAGCTATTAGGTTTATGTGTGTGTGAAAATAATGCAACAAATCTACAAACAGTTGCAACAAAGCGTGTGTGTGAAAATAATGCAACAAATCTACAAACAGCTGCAACAAAGCGTATGTGTGTGAAAATAATGCAACAAATCTACAAACAGCTGCAACAAAGCGTGTGTGAAAATAATGCAACAAATCTACAAACAGCTGCAACAAAGCATATGTGTGAAAATAATGCAACAAATCTACAAACAGCTGCAACAAAGCAGCTTATTTAATTCCAGTTGCTTGTTTTTCCAGTTCTATTCACATTTATTAAATTTCAACCATTTTCAACACATCCCTCAGGCGCCAAGGGGTATCTTTACACTACAATTTGTTGAATATTTAAAGCAAGTTCAATCCTGAAACTCCCAAAGAGGGTGTTTTTGGATATATCTTTTTAAGTAAACTTTGAGACAAGTTTTCGTTTGTTAATTGATAAATATTTCAGTGAAATACAGCATCCTCAAGTCTCCATACTAGCTAGTACTAAGGTCTACCCACTGGGAGTGAATTCAGTATATATCAATAAAGTCACATTCTCAGCATCATTAATTAAGCAATTGCCAATCTTTTATGCTTCTGCTATCACCTTTTTATGTTTAGCTTTCACTTGCGATTCGGTAGGGAAGGTCGAAGCATCACGATAGTCAGCAGTAGGATGAGCAGACAGGAACACTTTGAAAGCACCTACTGGCATAATATTGTACTCGGCTTGCTGCACAATATCTACCAAGGTGGTTCTGAACAGTTCCTGAATACCTCTACGTGTCATTTGGAGACTTCCGTGCTTCTTGTGCTTAGCCGTTAAGCTCGTGACGTGTTGATGGATTTCAGTCACCTTACCACTTCAAATCACTTTTTAGCATCCCCAGTGCAAAAAGAATGCGTGAAATGCCTTCTTTTTAGACATTAAAAATGTCCAAAAAATTTCAATTCAAATTAAGAAAAACCATATTGGGTAGTTTTTTCAACAAAAATGTCTCCCACTGGCTCGTGAGGGGCTTGTTAATAAAAAAAATGGTACTGAAACAAAAATAAGATATTCAAGTTGTAGAACATGAAGAATTTTATATATTTATATTTTATAAATATAGATTTGATATATTTGTCTCTTTAGCCATTTATTCATTGATGTTTGTGTTAAGAATTAACACCTCGGGATAGTGAATTTACTGTATCGTACTGACTGTCAGAAGCAAATATATGGAGTTACATATTTTCTGTGTAATACCAAGGTCTTATTGATTCTCTGCAGAACCACATTTTGTAGGCTCTTACGACATTGGTGACTTTGTCTTCTTCTTCTTTCGAGAAAGTGCCGTGGAGTTTATTAACTGTGGGAAGAACATCTATAGCCGTGTAGCAAGAGTTTGTAAGGTGAGAAGAGCTACGTTCTTGAGAATATATCTTACGGCTTCTGTATTTTTCTGTTTTTAATTTTGACATTTCCTTGCTAATTAATATGTGAAAATGTTGCTTGTCTTATGTAATGATGACTAAAGCTTTTCCAGTAAAGTAGTCCAATACTGCTAACAGAAGTGTCCATCAGTGGAC